ATTGTAAGCTTTTTGGGGTAGAGGCATTGTATTAGCTGTGTGTAGCATGTTATTGGTGCTATACAGATGTTATAATGTTTACAGTGATTAGCCAGTTACAGAATAATTGGGGTTGGATGTGATTTCTCAGGTGTCAAATATCCCACTCCTGGATCCTAGCAAGATTGATTTTGTCATACCTAACACACCTTTGCTCCATTGCACATGAAAGATTGGTATCAAGTGCAGTTTTAGATATCTCTAATGGCGGGGTTTCCCTTGTCCCATTGCCCCCATTGCTTTAACTGCTCTTAAAATAAAATCATGTTGCATTCAGTAAGGAAGGAGCAGAATAATGTTCCGGTGTGTTCCTGTAACAAGGGGGAAATGCCTTACTAGCAAATGGAAACTTTTTTTTTTTTTTTTGCTTGTAGCAATCACGCACAAGCCAGCTGCAATACCTTGAATCTCTTCTCACAGACCCATCCCTTTAAAGAATTCTCACACCTCACCAACTTCAGGCCAATCTCCCCAGCCATCTCTCACATTGTGGGTTCCAGTCCTTGGGCTTTCCATGTTGTCTGTGGAGAGGCTTGCCAAACAACAGAGACAGAGTGATGTGAGATCGCTGTTAGGAAGCTGCCATTTGCAACCTGATACTGCTTGCCCATAAAAGTGATTCACAATAAACAAACTGTCAATCTTGGGTTAATTACCATGGCTCCTGTAATTAATATTAGCATGGGAGGGATGAAGAGGGGAAAGGATTGCTGTATCCATAGTTAAGTGTCAACACATTGTCATGGAAAGTGATAAATGATCTCTCCACCACTACCTCTTGCTCTTCTTTCTGACAGTGAAAGTTCAGATGGATACCCATCATGAGGGTTAATAATGATGGGACTAAAACAAATGTTCCCTCACCATGTTGACTTCTCCAGCTGCCAGTGGTTGGGAGTAGTCAGCTTGATGCCATGATGCATTTCATGCCCTGCTGCCATAACAGAGATTTAATTAGGTTTCTGTTGAGTTAATTGCCTGCATTGTTTGCCTTTCCCCAGCAGAAGTCTGGAAGACTCAAGTAAATTATGGAGGTTTGAATTTGCCCAATTTCCTGCAGAAAGTGGGGTCAAGAGGTCTCAGACTGTAGACACACACTTCAGGCAGGCAGCAGGGGGTTGGCTCTTAATGGCACTTCAGAGATGCCTAAATGCCCTTTTGAAATGTTTCTCTCAAACAAGGGGCCTTGGTTTTCTTTCCCCATTAGGTTCTAAGGAACAGAGTACAAGCTTTTCCTTTACTTGGACACCACTTACCAGGGGCATAAGATGAAATAAACATACTTCTTCTGAGAGGTTACCTTTCTTTCCCTAAGAAGATCTTGTAGTGAGGAAGTTTTGTACTTTGGACAGAGAGTAGGATCAGTTGGAATTGACATCATGTCATGTTTAAAACCCTTTATTGTTGCTTATGTTAATGCTCTTTTGTCAGGGGTTGTCTGTATATAATTTGTGAAATACCTAGCACAGTTTTGGATGTTCTTTAATAAAAAAAAAAAAAAAAAAAAGAGAGAGGGGAAAAAAAAGTAGTGTCAGAAGATGAAGATGAACAGAATAATCCTTGCAAATTATATGCCAGGGGTCGGCAACGTTCGGCACGCGGCTCACCAGGGTAAGCACCCTAGCGGGCTGGGCCAGTTTATTTACCTGCTGACGTGGCAGGTTCGGCTGATCGCGGCCCCCACTCGCCGCGGTTCGCCGTCCCGGTCCAATGGGGGCGGCGGGAAGTGGCGCGGGCCGAGGGATGTGCTGGCCGCGGCTTCCCGCCGCCCCCATTGGCCTGGGACGGCGAACTGCGGCCAGTGGGGGCCGCGATCGGCCGAACCTGCCGCGTCAGCAGGTAAATAAACTGGCCTAGCTCGCTAGGGTGCTTACCCTGGCGAGCCGCATGCCGAAGGTTGCCGACCCTGTTATATACTATTTCTATTACCATAGTGCCTAAGAGCCTGAAGTCAAGGACCAGGGCCCCATTGTGCTGGGTGCTAACACATTCTATTAAGATATACTGCAGCCAGAAAGGAACTTGCACAATAGAGGAAACTTCATATGGGAGCTCTTAATTTGGATGGTGGGGGTCATCATTAAATAATAAAAAGGATATTGTCTGTAAGATTACTTGACCAGTTATTTCTTCTTGCTGGGCAGAAATGTAGGATTTTCTTGGCACTGTATTGAATATGCAGCGAAACCCCTGCTGCAAGTATTAATACAAGCAGCCTTGTGAAGGATGCACAAAAAAGATTCTCACCATTAAAAGGATCATTTGGAGGAGGTGGGAAATTGGGGAAAACTTGATATTCAGGATCTTTGAGAGAAAAAATGCAGTTTTTGAAGTTGCTCATTAAAAGTCTAATGAGGTAGACTGTGCTCTATTCAAGTTTAGATTGTGATTCACCCTAGAAATTCTTGGGACTGCTCCATAATCAAAGAGAGTTCTACCCCTGCTCTTCAGGTCCCAATAAATATTAAAGAAAATAAGCCTAAAAACTGGCATTTCAGAAAATGTGAGCATCTGAAATCTGAGAGCTGTTCCTGCACATGTCAACTGCTAGTGTCACCAAGACAGACCAGTAGACATGCAGACTATTTTAGTAGTGTAAGTGGCATTAGGTAAAGGTGGATAAGGCAGCCACCTTTGAAGTGTGAGGAAAAAGAACCCAAAGACTCTTTAAGGAAATGGTGAGGCTCCATACCTCCTCCCAGCAAATGTGAGCTGATAACTTTGGGTATGTAAAGTTTATTTTCCTCCCAATACTAGCAGAATTGTAGTACAGTAACTTTTCACTTAAAGTCGTTCTGGTTAATGTTGTTTCGTTGTTACGTTGCTGATCAATTAGGGAACATGCTCGTTTAAAGTTGTGCAATGCTCCCTTATAACGTCGTTGACAGCCGCCTGCTTTGTCCACAGCTTGCAGGAAGAGCAGCCCGTTGGAGCTAGCTGCTGGGGGCTTGGAACCAGGGTGGACCATCAGCTCCCCATCAGCTCCCCGCTTCCCTAAGTTTTCTGGGCGGCAGCCGCCCAGCAGGCTATCAATTGCCCAGCAGTTCATCTGTCCCTCCCCCCACTGCCATGTGCTGATCCTGCACTCTGCCTTGGAGCTGCTCCCTGGAGCCTCCTGCTTGGTGTGCCGGGGGAAGGGAAGAGGGGGGCTAATGTCAGGGTGTACCCCTGCTCCTGCACCCCATTTACCCCATCTCCATGGTGGGGGGAATGACCGGACAGGGCTCAGGATGGAGGGAACTTCCTGGGAGCAGTTGCTGTCTCAACTTGATGATCTACTTAACAAGGCAGTTTACTTAGAGTGGGGTCAGCGTACTTAAAGGGGCAGTGCGCATCTCTCTCTCTCACACAGGGTGTGTGTCTCTGTCTGCCATGCTGTCTCCCCTCCCTCCATTTGTGCTGCCTTGTAGAGGTGTGAGGCTACAGTAACAACAATGGGTTAACCCTTGAGGGCTCAGCCAAAAGCTAGTTCATCATTTAGCAGTAAGGCATTCCCTGGGAAATATCCCACCCTCTTCCACCCTCTGACTCCACCACCTCAACCAAGCTTCACAATCATCATCGCTGTGCACAGTATTAAATTGTTTGTTCAAAACTTACACTGTGTGTGTGTGTATGTATGTGTGTGTATGTATGTGTGTGTGTGTGTGTGTGTATATATATAAAAATAATGTAGTCTTTTGTCTGGTGAAAATTTTTTACCTGGAACCTAACGCCCCCCCCCCCCCAAGTACATTCTTATGGGGAAATTGGATTTGCTTAACATCGTTTCGCTTAGTCACATTTTTCAGAACATAACCACAACGTTAAGTGAGGAGTTACTGTATGTATTTAACTGGGGTTTCTTACAGTATTGCAGGAAAGTGTTGGCAGTTATTGGGCAGTGTTTCTAAACTATTAGAAGTATTCCTAGTTCTTTGTTGGCTGAGATTCAAAGGCTTTCCTGCAAAACTGTATCAGCTTCTCCTTTCCCAACTCCCAAACCCTTTCTTCCCCCACCTCCAAATAAGTCTTGTTTTCTCCTCTGCTTCTCTGTCCTAGCCTGGATGTCAGCATCTGAATAGCGAGCTGGAATGAAAAAGTTGAGAGTCAAAATGCCTGCAATTTCATTCCCATCTAATGGTTCCTTTGCAGCTGCCTTCCCCCACATCTTCGGCTCCAAACAGAGTTGGCACACTCAGTGAGAACAGAGTTGTCTGTCTTGTCTCTTGCCAACTGAGCTGGCTTCCTTATGCTGGCAGTGCATTGAAATAAGAGCTTTAAAGTCTTAAAAGGGACCCCCTAGTTAAAATTCAGATGGAGTAAATAACTCTCTGAAATCGATCTTTGCGTCTCTTATAGGGTTTTCTATTTAACGGTGTAATAACTTTTCTTTCACACAGAATAAACTTAGTCTTGTTGAAGTTAATAATTTATCCCTCTTTATTACAATGTCAGCATTTGTCTTTTTTATTTGTGTGCCCATTTTGTGTCAAGATTATGCATTTGCTGTTTTTTATTCTATTTCCACTCTGAAATGGTGGCTCAGAGCTGGCTCTCTGCTTGTTGGCCAACGACTGACTATGAAAAGCAAAATACTTTCAAGCAGAGAGTAGCAAATGAGAATCATGCCATGCTAGCTGGGTTTAAAATGTCTCCTAGTTCCCTTTCCCCACAAGTCTTTCCATCCCTTCTACTCCACTTTTTCTGAAGCCCATCACTAGATACAAAGTCATTGTCAGGCAATGACAGAAATTGACATTAGGAAATGGGGTTGGCATGAAGGTTTTACGGAACTGTGAATTATGAAAAAGAAAATCAGACTTTTTGAAAGGCTACTTCTCCCAAGAGTTAGGGTGTTGATCAAAGAGACCTACCTTAACTAAATTCTAGCTCTGGTACTTACATTCTGACTGCCTACATTCCCCTTTTATAGTTTTAATTGACCCTGATCTGATCGAACATCCTCTCTGCTTTTACAGAAATGGAGCAGTGTGAGCAACCCACTCTTCCTTCCATTAATCCCACCACAGTCTCAAGGCTTCACTGCTATAGTCCTGACATATGACAGGGTGGAAAGCCTCTTCCGAGTCATCACTGAGGTGTCCAAGGTGCCCAGTCTATCCAAGCTGTTAGTCGTCTGGAATAATCAGAATAAGAATCCACCAGAAGGTAAGGTATGCATGTTGGAGGGAGGTGGTACGTGTTAGAGTAGTGGCAGAACACCTACTGTACATCTAATGCAATGCAACCTCTCTTTTTATGTACTTTTAAACATAAAACTATTTTAAACTATTTTATAATACTTTTCAAATAAAAAAAAAACTGGTACGTTTTCATGACACTTTTTTAAAAGTTGCAAAATACAAAAGGCCAAATTACGCTTTTAAAAGGATCTGTGCTGGTGTTGCCTTTGCCAGTTGCTGATTCAACAGCAAGCCATGCAAATTTCTCAATGGAGGATTTTTTCCAAAAAAACCCATAAAATACTGAACAAACGTCATTAACAGTTGCTTTGAGGGGAGTGGTGCCTTAATTTGTCTACACTCGTTTGATTTTTCTCTACAGACACTATTAATCACAGTGAACACTTGTTCCACTAAACTGTTTGTTCTCTGTAAACACAGAACAAATTTGACTTGATACAAGAATACAGTTTGGACATTTTGTGGTTATAAAATAAATGAACATTTTGATTGATGAAATAAAACCTGAGACATTCTGTGTGTCCAGAAAGAAGTTTCTGGGACATTGGGTTATCATGTAAAAACTCTGAGACTGTCCTGATAAAAGTGAGGTGAATGGTCTTTTTATTTAAATATTTATGTTTAAAACACAGATGATTCTATTTATATCAGTGATGAGCAGACCTCATGGAATTTGAGGACTTTTGAACCTCGCAGTCTTATTTTGAGTTCATGGGTTTATAAAATTATTTGATGCTCATGAACCTTTTTTCATGTCATTTAAATCCATATTATTTTCAAGGCAGCTTTGGTTTCAAAAACATACCAAAGAAAGTGTTTGCTCTGTATTGGAGGTAAAGAGCCACCTGCTCCAAAAATCAGAACACGACAAGTAGGTGCCCTATATACAGTGTCTATTTAGAATTTTTCTCTTCCTCCCCTTTCTTTATCTTGCAAGCTCTCTGTATTTTTCACTCTACTTGTTTTCTGCTCTCTTCCCCCATTGAATTTCCTCTGATCTCTGTTTCCTTTTTTCAGTCTTTCCTAACCTGAATGTGAACTCTCTGATGTTAGCGTGTCTCTTCTGTCCCCAGTAGCCAATAAAGTGAATCTTTGAGACAACTCTTTGGGTTTGTAATATTCCTATATAAGAATGTACTGACAACCTGAGAGTTAAACTGGCCATTTATGTATGTTAGGTACAATGTTAAACTGAGTTCCTGATCACTTGCACTCATTTAAGATTCCATGGCACTTTTGCAGGAGTCAGGCTATTAACCCCATTGTCCTGGCCCATTTCCAATTTTGGTGCATTGCATTCTGCCTCTTTATATTCTTGTTCCAGTTTAAATTGGACACAGTATTCATTTCTTGTCTCAAACGGTTGTTTAGTACTGCTGTGTAAAACACCCTAGATGTGGTTGCCCATCACTGACAAATGAAGTGATTCTTACATCTAATTGTGGTTGGTAATCATTTGAGATTAAAAGTGTTGCATATAAATGGAAGGTGTTGTTTTTGTGTACTCTGAAGTTTTTATTGAAAACAAATTCATAACGTAGTTGAGCTATTACTCCAGTAGAGTAAACACTGCACACTCATAGACTCATAGACTTTAAGGTCAGAAGGGACCATTATGATCATCTAGTCTGACCTCCCGCATGATGCAGGCCACAAAAGTTGACCCACCCACTCCTGGAATAATTCTCTCCCTTGACTCAGCTGTTGAAGTCCCCAAATCATGATTTAAAGACTTCAAGTCGCAGAGAATCCTCCAGCAAGCGACCCCTGCCCCATGCTGCGGAGGAAGGCGAAAAACCTCCAGGGCCTCTGCCAATCTACCCTGGAGGAAAATTCCTTCCCGACCCCAAATATGGCGATCAGCAGAACCCCGAGCATGCGGGCAAGATTCTCCAGCCAGACCCACACAGCGTGAATATAACAAAAAATATTGATTTCTGCCCCAAATGGGTTGTTTCCATATATTCTTTCCTATAGGGAAGGTAAGGGAGAATTGAAACAAACTACTGATTTGAAAAATCTCATATTAATAATCATTTTTAATAATCTTAGTGGTGTAAATTCTTTTTATAGGCATATTAATTTTCTGTCTTCCTTATGTTTCCTCAGATATTATTAAATCATAAATCATCTCCAAAAAGAATGCATTTGCCTATGAACCTAATGATCATAGGTCCCATTTGAGAGCTTTGGTTATTGGGCTGTTAGGTTCAAACAGGTCTTTCATGGTAGTAAATATGTGTTTTAATAAATTATATTTCCTCATGTGGCTCTTATCTCCCCCCCTTTGTCCATTTATTTTTAACACTTTGATAACCCATGTAATCTCCTGGACTGCAGCTGAGGAGAGAGCAGTTTGAGTAAGTTAATTTAATTTGTTTTAATACAGATCCATGCAGTGCGTTCCACCTGGCTCTTCAGTGGGGTAGCAGGCCTTGGCTGCACTTAGTCACTCGTTCAGTTTCTCTATTAGCGATCCTAATCCTTGGACTTCAAAGCTTCTGCCATTTATAGCCTATTAAATCCAGGAAGTTTCTGATGGATTAGGGCAAGGAATGAGTTTGAAGTTTGTAATGTGCACCACTGTCACTGATAAGGTCTAGTTTATTACCCTACGGTAGTATCAGCACTTTTATGGCTATTCTTTTTTAATTGGTTATTGTAAAGCTGGGACAGTTAACGTACTAGTGCATCAAATGCAGGATTTCCTGGTCATTGCCATATAGGGGACACATTTCTGGGTCTGCTGTGCAAAGGCAAATCAGGGCTTCTGCTGTCAGAGCCAGTGGGTTTTTCGATATGCATAAATGGTGGCTGGGATGAAAACATCAAAGTAATTTTCCCTTGTGATGACTTGCAATAAATTCAGATTTGAACCCAGGTCTCCAGAGGTAAGGCTAGTGTGGTGCTACACAAGCATGTCACTTAACTGTTCTTTACTTTCCCATGTCTGCTCCAGAGTAATTTTATAAATTAAAACTATACCAAATGCTTTTCCTGCTTAAAATTATCACTCACTTTGAGACTGGGTTGTATAATCAAGGGTTTTATATTTGCACAGAACATCACATAACTAAACAGTCAAAAAGAAGCAAAATGAACTCTCTCTTCTCGATCTAGGAAAGAAAAGGGTCAAATTAAATGCAAATTTTAAAATCCCTGTAGATGCTGTTAATGGATGAAATGTGACTTTATAGAAGCCGAACCAGAGTTCTCTAGGCTTATGAAAAATACAGAATAAAAATACATTTTCAAAATTGAAGATGCCATAATGTTCACTAAAAACTCCTCATCCCCAAAAGACTAGAATACTCCCCAGTCAGGCCCCAAATTATTAATAGCCTAAGTAGAAAGATAAACTTTACAATGGATCCTAAAAGTCAACAACTACAGACTCTGTCAGACCTAGGGTTGAAAGTGAATTCCAGTCAAAGGGCCTCTACCAAGAATGTCCTGCTTTTTGGCCCCGATATAAGAATTTGAAGCTGATCTTAATTGCTGCCATGTGATACAGGGACAGATGGCGTCTCAGATATGTGGGACCCAAACTCTTTGATTGGTTTAGTTAGAATGATATAGTGAAACTGCAACTGATGATGCTTCTGAGGAACTGTCCCAGATTGAGATGTTACTAGAGGAGATTTTGGAACTAACTGATAAATTAAACAGTAATAAGTCTCCAGGACCAGATCACATTCACCCAAGAGTTTTGAAGGAACTCAGACTTGAAATTGCAGCACTAACAAGTATGGTATGTAGCCTATCATTTAAATTAGCTTCTCTACCAGATGACTGGAGGATAGCTAATGTGACACCAATTTTTAAAAAGGCTCCTGAGGCAATCCTGAGAATTACAGGCTGGTAAACCTAACTTGAGTATCAGGAAAATTGGTTGAAACTATAGTGAAGAACAGAATTATCAGACACATACAATGAACACAATTTGTTTGGGAAAAGTAAACACAGCTTTTGTAACGGAAAATTATGTCTCCCCAATCTATTAGAATTCTTTGAGGGGGTCAACAGATATGTGGACAATGGTGATGCAGTGTAGATTGTGTGTATGGACTTTCAGAAGGCCTTTGACGAGGTCCCTCACCAAACAAAGGCTCTTAAGCAAAGTAAGCAGTCATGGGATAAGAGGGAAGGTCCTCTCCTGGTTAAAACACAGGAATCAAAGAGTAGGAATAAATGGTCAGTTTTCAGAATGGAGAGCGGTGAGTAGTGGTGTCCCCCAAAGATCTTTACTGGGACAAGTGCAGTTCAACATATTCATAAATGATCTGAAAAAAGGGGCAAACAGTGATGTGGCAAAATTTGCAGATGATACAAAACTACTCAAGATAGTTAAGTGCAAAGCAGACTGAAGAGTTGCAAAGGGATCTCTCAAAACTGAGTGACTGGGGATCAAAATGGCAGATGAAATTCAGTGTTGATAAATGCGCATTGAAAAACATAATCCCAATTATACATACAAAATGAGGGAGTCTAAATTAGGTGTTACCACTCAAGAAAGAGATCTTGGAGTGATTGTGGATAGTTCTCTGAAAACATCCGCTCAATGTGCAGAAGCAGTCAAAAAAGCTAACGATGTTAGGAACCATTAGGAAAGGGATGGATAGATAAGACAGAAAATATATATAAATACATGGTATGCCCGAATCTTGAATACTGCATGCAGTTCTGGTCACCCCATCTCAAAAAAGATATATTAGAATGGAAAAAGGTACAGAGAAAAGCAACAAAAATGAATAAGGACATGTAACATAAGAATGGCCATAGTGGGTCAGACCAAAGATTCATTTAGCCCAGTATCCTGTCTTCTGACAGTGGCCAATGCCAGATGCCCCAGAGGGAATGAACAGAACAAATAATCATCAAGTGATTCATCCATTGTTGCCCATTCCCAGCTTTTGGCAAATAGAGGCTAGGGACACCATCCCTGCCCATCTTGGCTAATAGCCA